AGACACTTCTACCATGATACTTCTTTGGAGCTGCTGATTGTGGAATGAAATGTGAGCCAAAACAAACCTTTCCTCTCTTAAGTTGCAGGTATTAGGTAGTGTGTCTCAGCAACAAAAGTGACCAAGACACTGTCCTGAACCTGCAGCCACCTCATATCCCAGAAAAAACAAAGTTTTGCAAACCACATCACAATGAGGTCACCTCCCAAGTGGAACTGAGGTTGTACCCTATAAGCAAGAAGCATCATCTCATGATGGGAACAAAACTGCCCCGCCCCCCCAAGTGATGATGGCTCTCCAGGACATCACAGAACCAGTCAGTCCTGAGACACCAATCAATAAGACCACGGTTTTACCAGCATAACTACTTATGTAGGCTTCCCAACTATAAACATCCCCGGATTCGTTTCCTCTTGCTATAAAACTCCAAAGCTTCTATCAGCTCCCTGAAGCCTGATCTTGAACCATATATCTATCTGGGCTTCCCAGCACAGGCATGCTTAATTAACATCCTTTCCCATTCTTCATCACTGTCTGTCTTCTTGTCTGGAGTTATGAAACAGATGGCCCAGTCTGGTTCATTTAGGACTCCTGAAGCCAGGACTTTTGCTCTAAAACTCCAGTAACATAATCATTCAATTATACTAGTTTATTCTGACTTCTACTAAGCACTTATTGATAGATGGTATGAATATTCTGAAGTGTGAAGTAGACCACTTTATTCAAATGCTAGTACATTACAAAATTATTTTTGAACATCTGAATGGGGAAAATTATCATTTATCTCACAGCTCAAAAAGGAGACAAAGTACAACAATCATTTATTAGTCTGTCCACTAAAAGTTAGGTACTGAATAAATGGTACTATTATTCCCATCTTTCTCCATGGAAACACATTTAAAAGTCACAGAATACTACAAAAGAATTTTAATCATTACATTAGACAAGGAATTGAGGGTAGTAAGCATACAGGAGGGTACAAGGTATCTTTAGTTTCATGAATGGATTTTTTTTCTTTTGTAGTTGTTTCCTTCACTGGCTTGCAGATTTGAGGTTTTGAATCCTGAGAACATCCAGGGTGTATGTTTAAGCAATTCACAGATAACACCAAGTGCTAATACATAAGAGTTTAAAATTACACCTTTTTCTTGCTAAAATATTACATTTTGTAAGAAAGACAAACTTTGAAGGATACGATTCTGACTGGGATAATCATCTAACTCCATTGGAAAGATCCCACCCTTTCTTCTTTGCACATTATTCACTATTTTATTATATTTATTCCCACACACTGACTCTCACACTGACACACACACACACACACACACACATTCTCACTTTGAGGAAACTCATAGGTTTCTTATGTATTTCTGAAGATTTCAAGGCAGACAAAATCAAATAGATGTGTTTAGAGAATAAATCCTGACAATGAATACCAGAAATAAGGCCATCACAGGAAGCTCTCCCCAAGCACCAGATATTTTGCTAAGCACATTACATTATTATTTCACTGAAATTTATCCACTCTATGGAGTACGTATTATTTCATTTTACAGAGAAGGAAGCGGGGGCTTATAGCAGTTAAAGTCATTTACCTAAGACTACACAACCTACAATAGCAACATCAAGAGTCTAACCCTGGCTTACTCTCAATATCCTTGCAGTTTGAACAGTTTGCCCCACCAAAACTCATGTGGAGACTTAGTGCCTCCCTACAGCAGTGTTGGGAGGTGGGACCTAGTGGAAGGTTCTTGGTTCCTCAGGAGTAGATCCTCTCTTACAGGAATGGGTTAACTGCTGCAACATTTTTTATCTTTCATGGGCTGCCACTTCCAGTTTTGCTTTCTGCCTTGAGGCTCTCACAGACACAGTGACTTAGTGTAGAACTTTTCAGCTTCTAGAATTGTATGCCAAAATAATCATTTCTTTATAAATTGTTCAGTCTCTCAGATATTCTGTTAGGGTGACAGAAAACAAAGGAAATCTCTAACCACCACTACTGACTACCATATTTCACAAATTTCATGATACATCATTACTGTATGAACTACTAATGACAAAAAGAAGTTGACAATTGTAATTGTGCCACTCATTTCTTATGCCACACATGGAGACGTTGACCTATGAAAAAGTAGGGTGGGAGTGGGGTATCTCAGAATCAATGACACACATATATAACCTATACTGATTGAACTCAGGTCTTTGAACTCAGATGGACCAGAGCCATATCCCTGGCCCCTGTGAAATTTTTTTAAAAAACATATTTAGTACAGGGTCTATACGGTCTTACTATGTAGATTGGATTTGTAGTGATTCTCCTGTTTTCAGCTTCCTAAGAGCTGGGATTACAGGTGCGCCCCACCACACCACGCTGAGTCTCAATCACCATCTTGGTGTGCCCCAAGGGAGGGGCCAGCACAGCAGGGTGGGAATCAAACCTTGGCTGTGGTGCTCTGCCTAAGCAGGTGCTTTTAGTACACTGAGCTATCTGACCAGCCTGTTTAGTGAAACTTTGTAGGGGCTGGGGAGATGGCTCAATGGAATAAGTGCTTGCCTGGCAAGCGCAGGGACCTGAGTTCAATCCCCGGTTCTGCAAAAAAAAAGAAAAAAAAAGAAACTTTGTACTGTTTCTTATGGGTTTTTTTCTATCACTATTATATATTATTTTTAAAAAATCTTAAAAAAATCCCAGAACTACATGAAACCAATTATATAGACTACATAGTTGACAATAGTTTATAAATAGACCTCAAAATTCCATGCTTTTCAGAACTTTAGAATTCCCTAACTCATTCACCAGATATTTTACTCAGATGTCAGGTATACTACTCGTCAGTAAAATAATGATCAGGAACAGTAAGCTAATCCTTCCGTATGGATGAAGGGATGCAGTGGGAAAATTCCAAATATCAAGAAATTAAAAGAAAACTGGAAAAGTATGTGAGAAAACAAGTAGATAACTGTAACACGTAGGAAAATCCTCAATGTACACTTGGGGTACAGAGAAGCTTTCCTAGAAGAAGCAGTTTCTCAGTCAAAAACTGAAAGATTAGAGAATAAGTAGAAAAAAAGCCACATTTTGTTAAGAGAAAGAGAAGAGAGAATGGGAAGGTGGCAAACAGCTTCTAAGTAATGGAAACACAACATTCAAAAGCCTGTTGTAAGGGAGCCGAGCATACCTAGAATCCAATTCTCTGTCTTCACTTTCTTGCCTTCCCTGTAGAGTTAACTACTGGAAAATAAGCTGGTTAGCCAATCAAGCGCCTTATTAAGAAATATTAAGAACAGACTCTATCTAAAAAGCAAGAAGAAGCTAGTGCAGAGTTGTAATCGTAGATGTGCTTTAGAAAAATCACTCAATGTACTAGAGATTTAATTAGAAAGGACAAAAATCACATAAGGAAACTAGTTAAAGTTTGTGTGTTGGGCTGGCGAGATTGCTCAGGGAACTAAGTGCCTGCTTAAGCAAAAGTTGGGACTAGGGTTTGATGTCCAGTTTGGTATGCTGCACCAGCCCTACCCCTGGGGTGCGCTGAGCTGGTGATCAAATCCGGGTGTGGTGGCGCATGTCTATAATCCCAGCACCGAAGAGGCTGAAAACAGGAGGATCACCACAAGTGTGAGCTGTGTATTGAGACCCTGTACCACATACATAAATGAAAAAAAAAAGTTATTGTATTAATTATAGAAAATGGTAACCTGAATTTAAGTATTACCTGTAGAAATAGAATTAAGACTGGGAGGTAGTCTGGTCTTGTGACTTGCTTTGATAAGCCCTATAGGGTGGAAGTGACATACATGAGTCCCAAAGCAAGACCTTAGGAAGGACTGTAATTTTTTTCTCTTTTGAAACATTGCCTCGAGGCTGCCTGGAAGAGAAATCATCTAGTTTAAACAGGATGAACGGCCACAGCAGACAGCACCCCTATAAATGTTTTCCTTATGCTTTTTAGTTTAGCTGAATTATAGCTCAAATCGGTGCATAAATGAGGCCAGAAGAAATGAACAGAAGCACCACTCCACTGACACAGAATGGCGTGAAATGGTTGTTAACAAGCCATCTCGTTTTGGGGAGTGGTTACATAATCAAAGACAACTGAAAGTTAGCCAGATAATGAAATTTGGAGAAGGAGGCTTTAAGTATTATTTTCTATTATCCTCTTATGGTGGTAGTAATCAATTCAAATTCAAAAGGGGTGAGAGAGAACCCCTTAGAGAAGAAGGTTCAGGGAAGGATGTTTCAGTAATTTTTGAAGCACGAGATGTCTGAGTCACAGTACTGTATTAGACTGTTGGAGAAGCAAAGGATCCAGCAAGGTAGGAAAAACAGGGAGGATGTTTTCAAACTCCGTGATGAAAAAGTAGACGCGTTTAGAGACCTACTCGCTTCAAAAAAACTTTTCACGAATAAATTAAAGGTCTCCTAGAAGAAAACTTTTAAGCACCCACAGTAGAAAACAAACTGCAACAGGAACTGTACAAGCTCCCAAGCAATTCTATGAGGGGTTAAACAATGTCTACTTGTTTCGTAGAAAAGGCAGTCAAAATGAGGTTTTTCCTTTCAAATAATAAAAACTCATGTATTTAGTTAATGGAAAAGCCAACAATTTAAAAACTTGATTATACTGATATGTGTGTAAATTAGAAAGAATAAGAACTGTTCGGCTTGAGATAAGAACAGCAGCTCCTTTCATTTGTTTGCATAGAAACACTCTTACGCCTTTCCAAGCTTTACTACCTTCCTCATACAACTCACAAACCGCTTTCAGCTAAAGCTGTGTAAAAGAAAAATGCCCCAGGCAGTCTCAAACCAGAAGTCTGCCTGTGGAAACTAACAGGAACTAAGCCACGTCGCACTCCGCCACAGTCACTATGGCAACCCAGCCATCCCATTCTTCTCAAGGGAGGCTCCCAAACCCGAACTCGAAGTACTGCTCCGTCTTCCTCACCCGCAGTTCCTGGTACCCAAGCCAGAGAAGACGAAGAGGTAATGCACTCACCGTGTGAAGCACCGTCGCCAACAACAACCGCAGGACAAGCGCCGGCCCAAGCCAGTCTCCCGCCCAGGCCGCCATCTCTAGCCGCTACCGTAAATCTCTGGCGGATGAGAGGACCCCTCCGCCAGGGAAGTCCACTCCAGAGCCTGACCCGATACCTGCCGCAAAAAGCTATTGCTAACAATTTCCTCATTCGGAAAAGATGAGCATCAACTAAAGGGGTATGAAAGCTTAAACATGATCTAATATATAGGCGGTGGCCAAGTGATTTCAATTTCCAAAATCAGGCACTTCCCTAAACTCCCCATTTCTGTTCTTCTGGGAGCTCCTTCCTTCCAATCACGACATTTCTTCCTGCATCCAGGAAGCCCCGCCTTCTCCAGTTTTAGCCCCGCCTCCCCCTCAATGCTATCCAATCGCATGCCGCTTTGGTTGAGTCTGGGGCCGAGGAACCCAACCGTAAGCGAAACGTAGAAGTTCATTTTGGCCAATGAGCACAACCAGACGGGGTAGGAGGTGGAGCCCTTGGTTGCCGAGCAGCGTACGTAGATGCGTGCGCGTGGTGGTGGAGGGGGGATGGGTGAGGATGGAGGGGGGCGGGGCCGAGGGCGGCGCAGCCGCAGCCGCAGCACTGGGAGAGGAGCGCGCGGTCGCGAGCGAGGAGGGAGGGAAGGAAGGAACTGGGAGGCAGGCAGGCAGGCAGGCTGGCAGGCGCGGGGGTCGAGGACTGAAGCAATACAGGCGGGCGAGACCCCGGCCACCGCTTCGCGCTGGTGCTGCGCGGGCTTTCGGAAGGACGGCCGCTCGGTCGGCTGAGGGGAAGCGGGCGCCGCCGGCGTCGGTGCTGTTGCCGGGGGGCGGGGGACCAGAGAGGCGAACAGGGGGGTCGCTGCGGTGCTGGTCTCCCCGCCGCGCTCTCCTCGCGCTCTCCGGGCTTCTCCCCGTGTCTCCCGGCCGCCGGGGCCCCGCTCCCCGCCCCCCGCGGTATGTCTTGATCCCGAGCGGCGGGTTTCATGGGGCTCCTTAGGATTATGATGTCGCCCAAGTTCCAGCTGCTGGCGGCGGTGCTGGCCTTCGCCGTGGTGATGCTCTTGTTGCTGAACAAGGTCCAGAAGCAGGAGGAGTCCCTGTCGAAGCTAGGTGAGGAGCCGAGCGGCTGTGGGCTGAGTGCTGGGGCAGGGGCCGGGCCGGGGAGGGCCCTGGCCGGAGCCGGTGGGCGTCCGTCTAAACTGGGGTTCGCCTCGGGGAGCGGGGAGCGGGGGGCGTGGAGTGCGGCGGCTCGGAGGGCGGCAAGCTCGAGCGGTGTGCTGGGCTCGCGAGGTCGCGGGGCAGGGGTTGCGAGACTGCTCGTCCCGGGGCCAGAGGGTTGCCCCGAAGTAGGCGGTCCGCGAGCGGGGGCGCGCAGGACCCGACGCGGCGGGGAGCGGGGCTCGGTCCCGTAGGTTCTCTTGGAAGTCTGGCCGGAACGCAGCCCAGCAGCGTCAGGCGAGGGGTGTTCTCGTTCGCGAGGTGGGCACCTGGCTGCGGATGGTTTGGGGATGGTGGGCGGAGGCCAGGATCGCGGAGGGAACAGTCACGCAGAAGTGGAGGAAGCCCCCGGGAATGTGGAAAGCAGCACCCCGGACTGGGTCGTAATCTAGCCGGGGGCAGCAAGAGACCTTCCCGTTGACAGTCGAGGGAGGCTGGTGAGGCAGGACGAGAAAACTAGTTATGTGGCAAGCTTTAACGGGGTGCCGAAACGGGGCATCTGGAGATTGAAGTTCTTATTAGTGGCGCCAAACTGATTGCCTTGGGCGTCGCGGTAGGGGTGCGTGTATGTGTGTGTGTTGCTTCGCGGCAGTGTTGACTGGAATATAGAAGGTGAGGGAACGCTGAAGGGGAATTAATGGTGAAGTTGATGTTGATCAAAGGAAAAATAAGATGCCGCGCAACTTTAACTATGTTGAGTTCTTTTCACGGTCAGCAGTGTTTCAGTGACTGAAGGGATGTAAAATACAGAATTGTAGTGTAAAACTGGAGGACCAGAGGAATGCACACGTAACAGGTACTTTCGGATTAGAGAACTTTAGGATTTTGAAGAGTTCAGGATAGAGTTTTAGAGAGTCGCAGTGTTACATTTTGACTTAAAAATGTGCATTCTACTTAAAAGTCAGCTTGAGAGAATGTAACTGAAAATAAAAAAGTACTTTTTGCATAACTTCGCTATCTGAAAGACTGTTAGAAAAAAAAGTACTGTTAGCAAAAAAAGTATCTTTAGCAGTATAATCTAAACTGAGAAATAACTGTGGAAAGCTGGATGCTGATGTAGATAGGGATTACTTTTTAGAAACGTGATGAAAATAATCGTGATTTTTACATGTAGTGGTTATTTCCAATTTTGGTATACTTTCGCAAAATACTTTTGTAACTATACTCAGTGCTTCGAATATTTTGTAACTATACTCAGTACTTTGAATACACTTCAAAGAGAAGTGTATCAAAGAACATCACATAAATCTGATTGAAGTAAAACTAAATTGGGAGGAGGAGCTAGTGATACTCTCAGTTTTCAATTCCAGAAGAGCTATTCACTATATTTTTAGTTTTATAATTTGTAATTGTATTAATGTCTTGTATGATGAAAACATGTTCACTTTAAATCTTGAGGGTTTAGCAGTGTGCTTTTTATATGGAGGCAGGTAGATAGTATTCACAATCGTATTCTGGTCTTATTAATAATCCCACTTTACTAAAAAAAATTACTTCTTAGAAGAAGTTGAAAGGTATATGAAAATAAAAACTTGTACTAATTCATTGTTACACTTCTATTTGGTATCCTTTGGAATTAACTTGTTAGACACATTACAGTGGATTAGAATGATTTAGAGTTTTGGTTATCTTCTCTTTTCCTCTTGAAAGTGGTTTTGATAGACACAATCTCAACAATTTTATAGAGTATCTGAAGATGTAGATTGCCACAGGTAGGACTTAACACGTTCTCATGATTGTCTAAGGAAAGAATTCGTCAGAAATACTTAAGTGTACATCAAATAATTGCACCAGAAAATAGTGAATATATTAAAAAATCTGAAAAATATTCTAGGAAAAGGAGTCCCAAATAGAGAATGCTTAACATTTTTTTCATCTGGACATGCAAAAATATTGAAAATAAAACATACAGCTTTTATGTCAGCTTTGCAGTCTTCATTTTTTTAAGGTGACTTGGGTTCGTGTTGTTTACCCAGTATGTCCTTACACTGCTGTGCTCAGTCAGTCTTCTTGCTTTAGCCTCCCAAGGAATTATAGTTGTGCTGGGTAGCACTTGCCTTACCTTTCCTTTTACTTTTTTCTTCTTTTTCAGTTTTTTGTCTTATAGAACGCAGTACTAAAAGACACTGCCATTTAATAATCTGACCCCTTAGGAAAAAAGTCAGAAGGATTATATTTTTGATAATCATACTCTTTTCACTTTCCCTATAATACTATAGAATTATTTTTGCAGATGCAGGACTTGGAGATTATGTAATTTGTTTAAGACTACATGATTGGGAAGTAGCAGAGCCAAGATTGAAACTTAGATATGTCTGATATCAAATCAAGTGCCCTTTTAATTATACCAGGCTGCTTGAGACTTTATATTGATGTTATACCGAGTTTAGCTGTTGGAATAGAATTTTTAAATTGCAATATCAATGTGTTTATTGCTAAGAATGAATATCATTCTGAGAAAATTTAATTTCTGATACAGTGAAATTAGTTTAGCATAATGTCTGCCCCTTATTTATATCCATATAATGAACATAATTACATTTCTCAATGAAATGACTGAAATAGCTTATTTCTGCTACTAGAGAAGAAAACCTTTGGGTGTTTTTTTTTTTTTTTTTTCTTGTAAGTGTAAAATTGCAGCAATTAAAAAGTATTTTTAAGCAGAGCATGGTGGTACATTGCTGTAATTCCAGCACTAAGAGACTGAGGCAGGAGGCTGGTTAATTTTGAGCCTATTTTGGGTAATTGAACAGAAAGTAAATAATAAGAAGAGGGCTAAGGATGTTGCTCAGTGTGCTTGCCCAGGGTTCAATCCGCAGTATCGCTTACCCACAAAAAGCATTTTTATCTTAGCAATAAAAAATAAAAGACAAAAGCTATGAAACATTTGATGACCGCTGTTAAAGTACTTTGGATTGTCCATATTCTTTTCCAGTGTGGAACATTCCAGAGGATTGAGTCCTGGCAATGCTATTATAGCTTGATTGAAAGTGTTATTAGATAATAATAGTTTGATGGTGATATCTTTAATAAAGTGGTAAGTATATTCAAAGCTAAGAAATATTTATTGGTCACTTGAGGAATTAAGTATATAGGAATTTCTAAGAAACCTAAAATTAGATTTCTTTAATAGAAATATGAGATCATAACAAACATTACTCTGTAGCTTGTTTGTATCATTTAATATTTTAAACATCTTTTCAGATCAGTATATGTAAATTTGACTTTTCTTGTATTTAAATAACATTTTAAATATATATGTGTCATAAATTATGATACATTATAGCAGTAATTGACATTCAGCTTTTTCCCGTCCCCCTACCCTTTCTTTTTCATTGTAGCAGTTTTTAGTTAAAGTTGTGCATTAGAGGATTTCATTCCTGGCATCTTCTCAATGGCTTCTTCCTTGTATTTGCCATTTTCCTTTCCTTTGTGGTGAGATTTGGCTTTTTGTGCCAGGATCTTTTGCAGCCTTTGTCCAGTTTTAGCCTGGCGATGACCACTTTGCTGGGGTGAACGCCCACGTGAATCTTTGCACCATTTACCTTTTTGCGCTTCCATTTACCTTTTCACGCTTCTCCGATTAAGTGTTGATGACATATGTCTTCCTGTAAACCTGGACTACCTTGTCAACCTGCTGACCTTTACGGTGTCCTTGTACAACCTGAACCTCATCATCCTTCGGCTGGGCATAGATCAAACATTGTGTTTCTGCCTCAGCTCTTTGGAAAGCGGGGAAGACATAATCTTCCTGTGAACATGAGGAAGGTGCATTTTGGTTCTTGCTTTGCTCCAGAGTCACAAGAGGACCAAACTTCATTTTGGCTGCTACAACTCCAGCAATGACTGCAAAAGGGAAGAGCCTCTCCCCCTTTTAAGGTTTTTTTGTTGTTGTTGCTGTTAATATTATAATGAAAAAAGAAACATTCTTATCTGCTTAACTCCTTGGGCAGTGATGCTGTTTCTCACTAGAATACATTTTTCTTGTTTGGGTTTGCTAGGACAAAAAAGGCATGATTTTAGGTTTTAACAGACTTCAAAATCTGTTACTTAACTTTTTTTTTTTTGAAAAGGTTACAGTGATCTAGGTACACTGCCAACACATACTCGGAAGCATTGGAAGCTATCAGCTTTTAATATTTACCGATCTGAGGCTGTGAAATAAAACATTGATAAATTAAGTTACATTTCTTTAGCTTCTGGTTAGGTTGAAAATATTTAGATGTGCTTATTGCCTTTTTATTTGCTGGTTCATTTTTATTAGTCAGTTTTTCTATTGGATAGTTCACTAATATTTAGTTTTTAAAATGTCAAAATTAGTAATCTTTTACCTGTCATAAGTGTTGTATCTTTTTTTTCTCCGTCTTTTCTCTTTTGACCATGATATGTGTTGCTTATTCAGAATATTTAAACTTTACAAGTACATTTCATTTGTTGCTTAAGAAGGCTTCTGTGGACCCTTAGTGTATATTCTTATGTTTGATTATAGTATGTTTTTGATGTTTAACTCATTAAACTATTCATATGTTTATAGAGGTTTATTGTAATTTCTCTCAATAGCCACTTATGGCAAAGATTATATTAGTAAATAGTCTTTCTTTTTCCACGGTGTATTAATCCTTTGTTAACTCATTCTTAGACTGATATCAGGTTTCATTCTTTTCCATTAATCAGAGATGCTTTAAATTTCAGAAACCTGTATATGTAGGCTTCAAGACATCTGTGAATCTTCTAAAATTATATGCATAGCTTTTATCAGATTGTAAAGGAGTATATGATCCCCTTAATGGTAAGAATCACACATTAGTAGTACAGATTGAGAATCCCTAATCAAAATATGTGAAATGTCCTCAAGTCATATTTTTTGAGCTCTGAACTGTTTGTACAAAGAA